TTTTTTTTTTTTTTTTTTTTTTTTTTAAGTCTTCAAAATGAAGAATCTGTAGATGGTTGATTATTCTAATGCTTGGCATATAGCTGCATTTCAAGACAGTTGAAAGGAAATAGTGATCTAAGGGCGAAAAAAGTCACCAGTGCAGAAAAACCTGATGTCCTGTAGCAGGAATAGATCCTACCATATTAGCCAGAAATATCCCTAGACTTGGCAAACTAAAATACTACATAAAATCTTTGGTTAATACAAACTGTTCAGTTACTAGGTTAATAATCCATTAAAATCTGTGCTGTGTCTTTGACAGTAATTTAATCCAGCCACAGTGTAAAACTTACATAAATACTGCTGTGTTCCTCAACATTTTTTTTAAAAAGTTTTTTCATATTTTGATTATCCTCTAATTGATCACTGCCACCGTCAAAGATTAGATCTCCTAGCAGGTCCAACACAATGGTGGAAAATAAGAATATATAAAGTTATTGTGCAGTAGCTATTGGCAAATTTGACTTTTTAATTGCTTCCAAAGTACATTCAGCTTTAGAAAACACTAGATCTATCAAATTTTTCATATATAAACTTGTTTTTATGAGATCCATTGATATAATACAAAGACAAATCAGCTTGAATCTAATTGGAACCCGTATAACATTTCCATACATTTACAAATCCTGTCTGAGCTGTGAAATAGACCACATATTGATTGTTGCTCATGGGAACAAATACTGTGTAGCAGAGAAACAGATTTGATAACACAATACCTGCTTCATATTAAGTAGCAAAATGGCAAGCATTGAATTTTTTTGAACTTTATTGTACAGTAGACAAAGATGGATAGATAGGGAAGAGCTATTCTGATCATAAAGCTCATGGACAGATGTGCTATTTGAAGGGCTCCAAGTACCTTTGAAATGCAGATGCTTACAGCTAAAGTGCTTCAGAAGTGACCCATGAAAAAAGAGCAACAGCTTTGAAGCCCTTCCTTTTTTTAGCACTTCCTGAAACGTCTGCAGCCTTCAGTGTTTCTTGTGTACTCACTCCCACAAGGGAGTAGGGGAGTGGGGCAGAAAGCCAACTAGCACTCTTATGTGCACTGTCTTTGGGAGACTGTTACTGTATGCCTTCACTGCTGTTTTGAAGTTCTCTGTAATTTGGGGCCCTTCAAATGCATGTTCGTCTATCCTCAAGATTCATTACCATACATGGGCCAGGTTCTTGGTTCCTCCTAGGCTGTCAGATGCGAAGATGGACAGAGGAGGGAAGCTTTTAAGCCATCTTTTTGCCCCTCTTTTGTCTTGTTTGGCTTCCAGCATAAATTTGAATAGGCACAATGGCTGTTCTGACCCATGCTTATCAGCTGATTTATCAACTAGTAATTGCTGAAGTCATCAAAACCTGCAAATTTCTCTTCAAGCAAAATCAAAGATCATATGATAGTGGGATTTGGTCAAACGAGCTCAGGCTCTAGTGTATTAATATAATTATGGCCCTGTTATTGTCTAGTAGTTTTGTTAATTATGGAACCTGGGATATTTGAGTTCTCTTCCAAATTATGACCTTTTATTCACCATCCGTTAGCGTGTTTAATATGGTACTAAAAAGTGCTTTGAGAAACTTGGTGAAAGGTGTTCATGTTTACAACTCAAAGCTTCTATTTTAATATATATTTAGATATTTTTAAGACTTTTTCTTGATACAGCTGGATTTGTTTATCTCGTAATCTGGAGTAAGAATGTAGTATGGAAAACTGATTTCAGTAGCTTGATTTTAGGTATGCACAGCATTTTTCACCATTTCTTGTTGTATTAGTTAATCACAGAAAATGGTGTGTTTGGTGCCTAAGGCAAAAGATGCTCTATATATTCCAGGCCAGTCCACTCACTTTAATGTAGCACCAAATTACTCTGGCACTTCTGTTGTCACAGGGTAGACAAGATAATTTTCTCATTTTGAATGGAATTTAAGAAATCACAAAAACCTGTTTAACCCTCATTCATTCTCATAAAACCATAACCACTGTTGTTCTCATGGGCTAAGTTGAGACCAACAATGTTGAATTGCAGGGTAACATGGGGTAACTTGTTACCCCATCCACAACAACAAAATGGAACCAGTGACAACAGTACAAATGTACCAAAAACTATTTATTAAACCTGCAGATTGCTTAAAAGAGTATTTATGATGATTTGAACCCAAAATATTATTTAACTAGAACTCTAAAACTTGTTTTTAGTTTCAAAATGTGAATGAATAATTTGTTGAGTCTGCAGTTCACACTGTTTTCAAACTAACAGTTACTTCCAAAAACATTTCCTAACTGTTTTAACTAAATATTGCATTCCTCGCAAAGCAGCCGTGATGTACTGTGGTGCACACAAGCAAATCACTTAAAATCTTTGCATCATTTCTGCGTTTTGTGGTCATCTGTCCTTGGACAAAAAGCACAATGTCCACTCATGCTTGCAGAAGGTTCTACTTGAGTGCATTGTGGCAATTTGTAATTTGGGGCAGTCATAACATTCTTGACAGACATAGACAGATTACGTGTATCCATCAGTCTTTGTTTTATTTAGCCATCGATCAGCTGTTCTCCAAGCTCCTGCAAGAAAAAGTGCTGTCTTAAATGTGATCTTTGCTTCCAGTTTGTATTGTGTCTTAGCCAAATTATGAGGCTGGCAATGGCAGCCACATTCCGCATATTGAAAAAGTGTCATTGACCACCTGTTGATTTTTCAGTCTGCAGGTGGTCATATGGACTAAGTGGTCAAGGTTATCCACCCCACCCTTGTTTTTATTGTAGTCATGGATGATGTCTGGCTTTCTTTGCTCTGCACCCACTGACAGGTCATGGTGTGTGCTTGACAGCAACAGAACAACTCTGGACTTCTTTGGAACATAGGAAACTAGGGTGAGTTCCCCGTCAAAAGCAAAAATGGATGAAAAAGTTTCCCTTCTTCGATTTGCTTATATTTCGTTTGGGATATCGGCTTTGTTTTTCTGAATCATACCCATATAGGTAAAGTCCTGCTGTAACAGTCCTTCTGCCAAGTCAGTATTTGTGAAGAAATTGTCACCCACAATAGTCCTTCCCGTCTTGTACCAGGGATGAACCGATTTTTTTCAATGACCTGGGTACCAAGGTTACCTTGGTGTGGAGCTTTTGGTTGCTTGCCCAGGTAGATGTCTCCAGACAGGGGGAATGATGCTGCTGCATCACAGCACCACCGAATTTTCAAGCCATATTTGGCAGGCTTGCTGGGCCTATACGGTCTGAAAGGACACAGCGACCCCTGAATGCAATGAGTTGCTCATCAACCATCAGGGGTATTCCTGGAATATACCATTTCCTGAGCTGCTGCATAAATTGTGTCCAAATATCTCTGAAGGCAGCAAGCTTGTCCACAGCTCTCCTTTCCTCACTTGTCATTTTGTTGTCAAATCTCAGGTAGCTGTTAATTTGACGGAATCATTTTAAACTCATGGTAGCATGGACATTTGGTGCATTGCTCCCACAGCTCCTCCAGTGCCTTGTGACCACCGTGGTATAGACCACTCAGCAGTAGGAGGCCAGTGTAGGCTTTCAGCTGTTTCATCCAGCTTTTTACACTCCTTTCTATTTTCAGGATGGCTGTCATTCCACTTCCTGAATCTTCTTTCTGCCTCTTTGTTTGTTTCTCTTTTAGGTCAGGATATCTTGTGAGAAACGGGTGGAACATTTCCACCACTGTGTCTTTATTACTTTCTCTTGTTGGCCCAGCACTTTCATGGACTATGTCCTTGGCTGTTCTCCAATGATGTATTAGCTGTGGAATTTTTTCCCACGCTGCCATTCCTTCCTGTAAAGGTGTCATCATCTGCAGTGTTTTCTGGGGGTGATGACAGTGGTGCTGCTCCATGTCCTGCTGTAGCTCTCCTCGGTCTGCCACAGTGGCCCTGGGCTGGTCCTCTTCCCTTTCCCACTGGAAGTGTTGATATCACTTCTGCTTGTGGCACTAACTCCTCCTCATCTGATCTGAATGCATCTTCCATAGATGCATGGTCTTCTTGTTCTGCACAGTCTCCCATATCTGGAACAAAGTCAGCATCCTCACTGCCTTGGGATAAGATTTCATCAGTGGATGTGTCGCTGTCATCCCCGGTTACCTGTGCAAGACAGGCGTCAGCACTGAGTATGTGCTGCCTTCTCATCCTGGACTGCAGAAAAAATTGATTACTGCTGAATGCATATAAGTAACTATCAAAGACAAGGCTGTCCACCTATGTTGTGACAGAAGCAATTCTGCCCTGCCTCTCCTCCTGGGCACAGAAGCCAGAGACCAACATCTACCCTTTGCAGGCAGACTGAATGTGGGTGGATGCTGTTTGTAAACCACACATGCAGGGGGTTACTGAGAGCAGGTAAAATGGGCATGGGGGGTGTCAAGCCCTTACTGTTGAGGTGGGCTTCATGTCTTCACTTCCAACAAAGGCAGGGCAAAAAAGAGAGCAGAGGTGGATTTGGGTATGACAAAGGGTTTGTTTGGTTTTTTGTGGCAAAGGGCATGGTGTTTTGATGACCTTGCAGCCTGCAAATTAAAGCAGTTAGCAAAAGGGATTACCACATTTTCTGCAAAAGCAGAGTGGAGGATGACCGTCCATTAGTTACCATGGATACCTGAAATGGACATGAATGAGGTGTGAATGAATGCTGACCTTTCAGAGGCATCCACTCAGTGGCCAAACAGGCCTGTCATTTATACAGCAATTGCATTGAGGTAACAAGTTACCCCAATGCGTTAACATGGGCTTTGGGTAAGTTGTTATATGGAAAAACGCATTCATACCTGGGGTTGCATGTTACCCTCGGCAGTTTTTCATCCACAGAGAGCAAACCATTCACGTAAGCTGGCTGTTCTTTGGCAATATTGTACACTGCGGTGACAGTGTCCTAAAAAGAAAAAAAATGAGGATTGATTAACTTTAAGTTATTGCACAAAATATGTGTCTGAGGTAGGAAATTACCCCATGGGAATGTCTGAAGGTTAAGGGTTTAGGGAAGTGTAACTGGTGAATTAGTTTGTCTGAACGGCTTGCAGAGATGTGTTAAAGATGATTACACAAAGGATAATACTTAATGTTTGGCTGTGCTGTGCAGGTAGTGATATTAGTTAACTAGTGTTAAGGGCTGGAAGAGTGCAGTGAAGCTCGTTTGCTTGGTAACAGCTTCTGTTGTGTCGTATTCCTTTGTGTCTTGTGTGGGGATGGGTGCAGTATTGCCTTCATCTGACTTTAACTGAATAGGTGCTAAAGGATTTCACTGTTACATTTGTGGGACTGGATGATCTTCATCCAAGCGTGCTGAAGGAGCTGGCCAAATTCATTTCAGAACCTCTGGCAAAATTCCTCCACAGCTCGTGGCACTCTGGAGAAGTCGCTGAGGACTGGAAGAAAGCCAATGTGCCGATCCACAAGAAGGGCAGGAGGGGGGACCTGGGTAACTAGAAGCCAATCAGCCTAACTTCCATCCTAGGAAAAATCCTAAAAAACTTCATCAAGGAGTCTATCTGCGATAAGCTTGCAGAATGCAATTCTGAATGACAGCCATGTCACAAGCAGGTCTTACCTTGCCAACCTCATCTTCTTCTATGGCCAGGTAACTCGCCACCTGGACACAAGAGCAGGTTGACATTGTATACCTTGACTTACAAAAGGCCTTGATTTAGTATCCCACAATGTCCTCACGAGAAAATTGGAGGATTGTGGGCTTAACTCCAAGACAGTCAGGTGTGTGAGAAACTGGCTGCAGGATAGAACCCAGAGAACTGTAGTGAACGGATCTGTCATCCTGGCAGTGGGCAGTGGTGTCGCACAGGGGTTGGTGTTCGGTCCAGTACTTTTCAACATCTTTAATGATTTGGATGTGAGGGTGAAGAGCTCACTAGCCAAGTTCGTGGACAGCACTAAGTTATGGGGGAGCGTGGTCATGCTTGAAGATAGGCTACGGACACAGGCGGACCTAGACAGCCTAGCAAGCTCAGTGGATCGGAATCTGATGAAGTTCAGCATCGAGAAATGTAAAGTGCTCCACCTTGGGATGAACAACCCCCAACGTACGTACAGGCTTGGCGGAACCAAAGTGACTAGCACCATGAATGAAAGGGACTTGGGGGTAATAGTAGACCACAGTAGGAATATGAGCTGGCAGTGCGACGATGTAGCCAGTAGAGCAAATAATACTCTGGCATGCATCAATCGATGCATCTCCAGCAAAACCAAGGAAGTGATTTTTCTGTTCTACTGGGCACTGATGAGATGGCAGCTGGAGTACTGCATCAAGTTCTGGGCACCACACTTTAAGAAGGAGGTGGACAAGCTCGAGAGAGTCCAAAGAAGATCCACCCATATGATCAGAGTCTTTAAAAGGCAAGCCATATGAAAGGCTGAGGGATGAGGGATCTGGGACTCTTCAGCCTGAGGAAAAGAAGGCTGAGAGGGGACCTGGTAACAGCTTACCACTACAGTAGGGGAGTACGGTGAGCAACTGTTTACCAGGGCACCCAAGGGGAAAACAAGGAGTAATGGCCACAAACTCCTGGAAGATCAATTCAGGCTCAACATTATGAAAAACTTCATCATAGTCATGGTGTCCAGACTGTGGAATAAGCTCCCTTCAGAGGTGGTGCAATCGCTTACTCTGGAAATCTTCAAGAGGAGACTGGATGGTCACTTTGCTGGGGTCACCTGATCCCTAGTTATTTTTACTGCTTAGTGCAGGGGGCTGGGCCTGATGATCTTCCGAGATCCCTTCTGGCCTTACAGTCAATGAATGTCAGGGGTTGTCAACCAGGGGTACGTGTACCCCCAGGGGTGCTTTGAAAGGTCCCAGCAGGTACGCGGGGGTGGGTGGGGATGGAGTGCTGCCACCCTGCGCTGCTGCCTCACAGACAAAGGAGCAGGGTGAAAACAGGGCTGCACAGACACTGCACTGCTGCCACTTGCCATGCTCCTGCTTGGCATTGGGCTGCTCACCACCCCCCTCGTGGGAGTACACTTACTAAAAACAGGGCTGCTGGGGGTATACTTATTAAAAATGATTGAAAACCGTTGCATTATATGGATGGTTGCTTCCATTCAAATGTAATGTTTTCATGGCTCTCAAAAAGGTTTTATATATTTTAGCCTTTAGATTTCGTTAATGATGAAAAACGAGAATTCTTGTCCCTGTTAAAACGAAGTTCCAAGTCCTGCTGTTGGCTTGACTGACTTGCTCAGCAGCTTGGGACATATTATTTAAGCTCTCCCTCATTTACAGAATGGTGTCCTTGGCTGTACTGACTGTTTGTCACTTTCAAAAACACTAATCAATCTAAAACAAGGCAGAAGTCTGTCTTACTGCTGACCTAGCCCAGTGTTTCCCAACATTTTCCAACCCAAGGCACACTGATAAATAAAATTTTTCTGCAGCACACCTGTTAAGGCATTCCCCACTCTCATATCTATTGTAACTTATTGCCATGGCAATATTCCACGGCGCACCTGTTCATTTCTGACGGCACACTTCTGTGCCGCAGCACACTGGTTGGGAAACACTGGCCTACCCTCCTCTGAAATGTTGTCTCTAACTCTCAATTTCTACCTTTTAAACATGTATTTGAAACTGAATTGATTTTTGATATTGATATAGATGGAAAAACATGAAATGAAAAGTTACTATATGAAATGGGTCCATTTTAACAGCAATACTAGGATAAGGCTGCTAAGCAGGCCTTAAAGGGTTGGACAGTTATTTCAGCTGGCGGACCACTTAATGTGTTTTGGCGAGTTGTGGAGGGCCACGCACAAAATCTTTTTCAGAAGATACCATTTTAACAAATCATAGATAAAAAACCAAATCCTGTACTAAAAATCAAACATGTATTGTAACAGGCATCAGCAACCCCTGGCATGTATGTCGGAGCATGCCACAAGGGTGTTTTGCTTGTTGTAAGTGCCTTGGTGTAGACAACAGGATAGGGACTGGGGCTGCACTGACATAATAAGGATTGGGCCCCTTGCAGCTCCCCTTCTGCCTGCCTGGAGGTGCTCGTACATCTGCTGCTGGCAACAAGCCTGTAGCACCTGGGCATGGTGGGAGGGAAGAAGCCCCCTGGGGCAGGTAAGACTGACCATCCTCTTTTCCCTTCCCTGTTCCATTTGTAGGTAATGATGCAGGCTATATTACAGTAACCCAGTTCTTCTAGTATTATAACCATCATTATGAAATTGCTGTCTTTCACAGGCCTTTTCTTGACATGGTATATAATGCACTGGACTGTACTGAAGATGACTATTATGCCCTCTTTGTACTTTGTCTCCTATATGCAATGTCTCACAATAAAGGTAAGAGATTTATTTTGTATACTCATAATACCTTTTCCCCAGAAAAGAAAATGAAATGATGCTTGACTCAGTGGCTTTAGTTTGGTAAAGTTGTGGTAGGATTTTTTTTCTAGGTGCTTTAAACCACAAGAACGAACCCCTCCTAAACCCCTCCTATTTTTCAAAGAATGCTGTGTGTAGATTGTGGTATTTTTCTCTAGTAAGTTTCCTAGAACTGCAACTGAATGCTTCATTTTTAGTTAGATTAAGTCACTTGAATTTAGTGCTCTAAATAGTACTAAACCAATTCCATTCAGTACAATAAATATGTGAGGATCATCTAAATACAGAGTGGTGAGACTCCAACTTGGTGGTATTTTTACATTTGTTTGGGTTTATATAACTGTATTATGTGTAAGCCAAGGGAGAATCAAGCTGTTCATTTTGGAGGAGTACTATGCTCATTGCTGTAAACTATCAAGAGACAAGGATTTTTGTCTATTGCCCACACAAATCTTTGCTTCTCGCATATTTCCTAGCCCATCACAGCTGTAACATTGCTTCAGCACTACCAAAACAAGCTGTCAAATCATTTTTGTTAATGGTACCCAATTATGTAAGTATTCAACAGCCACTACATGTGTTGTGCCATAGTTGTTTGAACTGTACGGCATTTGTGCAGATTATTTCACTGGGATTAAATATCCTGTCCCTTGCATGCACAGAATTCATTTTGGACTTCAATAGGTCATGTTAGATAAAAAGCTGCAAACATTGTGTGTACCACATAAAGGTGAATGTCTATGTATGTAAAGGTTTTGATAGAAATATTGACACATAATTATAATAAACTTGCTCATCTAAATGAGTTTTCATGTTTGCAGTAGAACATTTTACTTGCATCTCTTAAAACATGCTAAATAAATTCAGCTTAAACAAGTGGACTTTTATTGAATTTCAGTTTCCCGCTCCTGAAATAGACTTAATTTATTACTGGAAATAAATTTTGAACAGAAGGATTTAAGGCAATAGTGCCTCAGCATAAGGGTACTGATGTGGTATGTGGGGGCATTTTTCTTAACACCTTTTTTTAAAGGTTCAGAGAAGAAAAAGAAAAGTGAATCAACAGAGAAGTCCTGGAAAGCGAGGGTGAAGACTATGTGTTTAAATATTTTTGTATTAGTTTCCTTTGTCATAGTTAAGTGAGTTGGATTCTAGTCTGCAGTTCCAGTGGAGTGCACTTTGTGGGGCTTTGTGAGGGCAGGCTTTACTGTGGATAATTCTTACAACTAGATCCCTGAGAGAGCCATTATTGGCTCTTTACTGTCATTTGCGGTCTGGTTCTCCAATAGGGACACAGAAAATATCCGTTTAACCTCTTCTGATTTATATCGGTTAAGTGGTTAACTGGTAGCTCATGTCTAGTTTAGTGACCTCCAGCTGGAATGGCCCCACATCCTTATGTTTTCACTCTGCTCCTGGCACTGTGTGGGCATCAGGCCACTGGTGGGGAGCCATGGGCAGGGGGTGGCAGGTGCAGCTGAGCCACTAGGCAGCACTGCCTAGCTGCAGAGCCATGGCTTCCCCTTGCTCCCATGTGCTGAGGCTGCGGATGGAACCGGAGCTGTGGATCTCTCCTGTGCCCATATCTCGCTGCCACCATGGAGGGAAGAAGGGAGGGAAGTGATGGGCTCCCCACAAGGGTCAGGTGGGGTTTTTCTACTACAGCTTCGAGACTCCCAGCCATGCAGGGGATCTGCATGGCCCCCCTGAAGTGGCAGGGCCTGGACAGGGTGACTGATTCCCTGCACCTCCGACTGCGCTTGTACCACTGTGGTGTGGACGTGGAAGGCTTCTTTATGGTGCAGGGCTGGGCCCTTCCCAGTTTGCCCTGGGGAAAGGGAGGATCTGGTCCCAGTGGGACAGCCGCTGCCAGGCATGCTGCATCTTTCCTCTTTGGCTGAGCCAGCCATGTGCTCAGTCCTGCTTCAGGACTGGGCCAGGTCCCGAGTGGCCCCAGCACCATGGGCAGGAAGGGGAAGGATGCAGTGTGTCCAGTGGAGGATGTCCCAGTGGGACTGGTCCCCCACCCTCCCCCACTTTCTCCTGGGGTGATCTGGGGAGAGCCCAGCAGCTGGCAGGAGAAGCATGTAGCCCATTACCTTGCCCAGGCCCTGCTACTGCAGCGGGGCCAGGCAGACCCACCATGCGGCCAGGAGTTTCACTGCTGTATTGGAAGACGCTTGATCCCTGTGGGGGGCCTGGCATCTTTCTCCTTCCCTCCCTGTGGTGGCAGGATCCATGCACAGGAAAGATCTGCAGCCCCAGCCTCTGCCTGTGGAGGCAAGGGGAAGCTGTGGCTTTGCAGCTGGGCAGTGACCCTAGTGTTTTGGCTGCACCCATGGCTCCTGTGGAACTGATAAACCTCTTTAAAAGAAGAAAACATCCTTCCTCCTGCCCAGAAGCTGACCAGAAAAGGAGCCCCCAGAGGTGGGGATGCTGCAGATCACCATGGAATGCAGGGACTGAGAAGAGCCGAGGTCTTGAAGCCAGAGGTCTGTCCCTTGTGAAGCTGCATTGGGGCTGGCTGCAGGGGGTCCTCTCAGGAGGGGGAGAACAAATAAGGTTTCTGTTTGGGGAAGTCCTGAGGAAGAGCTTTCCCCTTCCCCCCTGAAGGGGCAGGGAGATCTCTTTTCCTGACACTAACATGTGTAAAGTTCTGTAATACACTTTTTGAGGGTTTAGGATAGTTCAACAGAGAAAATTTAACCATCTGAAAACTGGTTAGAAAATTATGTTAAAGTGGTTAAAGGCTTACTTGCTGAGTGGCTCCATTTACTGCAGAACTGCTGCCGGAAAAATGGTTGATAACACAAACTTATTGTATATTAGATAGCTTGTGGATTAATATCTGGGATCTATTAGAAAAAAAAGATTTGAAAGCCTTACTTGTTCTGAATATGCCCCACTTTGTGGCTTAGTGAAGTTTGCAGTCTTAAAGCTTTAGCTTTCTACATTTGCCATTCATTTTGAAGGACATTTATTAAAATTGACTGCCAAGGCTTTTGGAAAATAAAGGTTTTTTCAAAATCTTTTAATTGCAATAAGGGAGATCAGATACAGTCAGCTTTGGAATGAACATGCGAAGCTAGTTTGAAAATTACTTGAAATATATTTTCTATATTTCAAGTAACAAAAATGCTTTCTACTAGAACAGGTGAACAGGTAGGTATTTTAGAAATTCCAGCGTGGCTGACAGATATCAAAAGCAGTTATCATTCATGCTGATCCTCTAGTAGTTTATTCCATTGACAAGGTTTTATTATTTGTAAATAAATAAATAAATAACTAGAATGTTTTTGAGTGGATTCTATGCTTATCTTCTGAAAAAAGCCTCAAAATGGATTGCGGGGGGGATTTAAATCCTTTAAGCCTCCACTAAGGCTGATTTTAGTATTTCTTTTGCTCAGTCTGTTCTGGTGGCCTCTAGTTTGGGTTGTGAACCCAAACTGAACTAGTTTGCGTTATGGTGCCATATGTATGTCACATGGGATTCACTTCTATGAGTGTTATATCACTGCTCAGAACTCATGAAACTTCTTGACACCAATCCTGTAGATACAACCTCAGGTGTTGATCTAAGTTGCTCTAAATGAAGCAATTTAACTCTGACTGAAGCGTGTTGGCTAACATCGCTTTCTCATGCCTGCTTTAGCTGCTTTCCTTGTTAACAGTGCATCTATACATCTGTGTGCTTTTTCGAATTATGATAAGGTTGGCGTAAATTTTCATGGTGTGGTATTACTGTTTCGTATTATGCTTCCCCTTTATGCAACATGGACTGTCCAGTAGACTTTACAGATTTTCTGGGTTTGAAAAAGGGCAAGCTAACAAACTCCTGTGATTTCTTTTTTGTGTCCATTAATTTTGTAAATGCCAGATTTGAGCTGTAGTCAAAAAGGATGGAATACCTGGTGCTGAATGCCATGATCTTGACTGTCCGTGCAAATAGGATGCACATTCCTTTTGGGAGTTGTGCAGGTTGGATGGATTTGACTTTTGTGGCTTGGAGGGAGGGGGGTAATATCAAATGGTTACTTCTACAGAAGTTTCTAGGAAAGCTTTGTTTACAGGAGCATCACTTATGGTTTTTGCTAGCTAGCAG